ACAAGGAATTTTTTCTAAGACTTGCGGACAATACTGCTGTGTATTTTTATATTATATGTGTAGCGGCTATAATCTTAATCGGTTTCTCGCTTTTTTTCCGAAGATTGTGAATATAACGATCGTTTAATCATACACTTATTTCGTAAAATTTTTACTCTCAAAAAACAAGCGAATCATAACAATATATAATATGAATTTTAGTATTAATAAATAAATTTTGTTCTGTAAAAATATTTTAAATATAAATCATATTTGTACTTTTAAAACCATTGTTCAATTTTCTTTCACTTCCTCTTTCCAGAAATTTCCTCAACATCCATGTTTCTGTTTACCTTCATTAAGCAGCGAGTTATTTTAAAATAAAATTTTATCCGACATCTTTTCAACAATAAGCATTCTTTCTAATCTACGATGATGCATTATTTTTTTATCGTGACACGAGTCGGAATGCTCGCCAGTAAAAATATTTGCGTGTTCTTTTTTTATTACCCTACGGCATTGTCAGTTACTACCTGCCACCGGTCCCCGGTCGACCGCATGACGCTTTTCTTGGTCAAAATGTTTTTACCCCACCCCGTCTAATATCGACCATTTGATTCGACGAGCTATCCTTGCCATACGTATACCCTAAATGTTTTTACCCCACCCCGTCCAATATCGACCATTTGATTCGACGAGCTATCCTTGCCATACGTATACCCGTACCCCATACCGTACCCTACGCAACTTTAGCTTAAATACCTCATCTAATCCTTAGACTAGTAAGATCTCGTTTAGCTCAACATACTAGGACCTTGCTCGGAAACACGAAGGCCCCAGGTTCAAATCCAGAGGAAATCAGAAAAAATAAAAAACAATAAAAAAATTCTCATTCCCACCCTTCGGGGCCAGTTGCCATTTTTTTTCCCCAACACCCTCTCCCCCTACACCCACACTCGGAAAAACCAGACGCCGGTGGTGGGGGAAAGATAAGATAAGACACGGCGCCAGACGGGTCGGTGGTGGGGGTTTGTTTTGACGGGCCATAGTGCCCACTATACTACTTATGCACTTTTTAGTCAAATAATTTTAATCTACGAAAAACGATATTTATCCGTATAAAATAAAACTTCTTTAAAACAAAAAATTTCGAAAATACAAACATTGAAATAATAGCAAAGCGTCATGTGTTTATTAAAAATCAGAAGTTTAGAAACTCTCAGAAGCTAGTATTTTATGATATAAAAAACATATTGCAATCTAATAATAATAGCTGTAAATTTTTAATAAGTTGTACTAAAAAAATTTAAACTTTGCATTAATTTGTTATTTAATTGAGACCTGAAAATTTTTATTTAAACAAATTATGTTTTCAAATATGTTTAATAATTTATAATAATTGTAACCTGCATTATGCGCTGGACATCCATCATGCATAAAAATGATGTTACGTCGAAATAGCGGCATATCGTCGATAGCAGCGGGAGGAAAAAGTAAATTTGGCAACTCATCACGCAAAAAGTCCAGATAATTTAAACCATTTAATCTTTCCGGCAAGAATACTGGTCCAATCTAAGGATAATTATTTGAAATTCATCATAAATAAATACACATTATGGCTTTATAGAAATTTTTTATATTGACAAAAGCAGAAGTAAAAAAAACGGAATGTTTACAAATGCTAAAATAATTATCTAAATGAAAAGCTAAAATTTAAACCAAAAATAAATACGTAAATCTCCAGTCACAACAGAAAGACTACAAAATGGCAAAATGTTAAAATATGTATTATTATAAATTTCAAGAAGGCCTAAATTTCAAAACTAAATCATGAATAAGTTTTCTACAATTTTTTTCGCAAATCTGACAGTTTATTGTAATTAAATAACTTACATTATTTTTAAACACTACATGCTACTGAAATTGCTAACTTGAAATTTATTAAAATATTTTTATGTTTGTGAATTTTTATTTTTATGTGAATCACAATCATGGCATATTTTAAGGACAATTATTTTAATATGATCCGTTTGTATTTTGCAAACAAAGAAAATGCAGCTCTCGCAGCTAGGGAATATCAGCGGATATATCAAAATGTGCGACATCCAGACGCGAATGTTATCCATGGTGCATTGTCAGTTACTACCTGCCACCGATCCCCGGTCGACCGCATGACGCTTTTCTTGGTCAAAATGTTTTTACCCCACCCCGTCTAATATCGACCATTTGATTCGACGAGCTATCCTTGCCATACGTATACCCTAACTGTTTTTACCCCACCCCGTCCAATATCGACCATTTGATTCGACGAGCTATCCTTGCCATACGTATACCCGTACCCCCATACCGTACCCTACGCAACTTTAGCTTAAATACCTCATCTAATCCTTAGACTAGTAAGATCTCGTTTAGCTCAACATACTAGGACCCTGCTCGGAAACACGAAGGCCCCAGGTTCAAATCCAGAGGAAATCAGAAAAAATAAAAAAATAAAAAAATTCTCATCCCCACCCTTCGGGGCCAGCCGCCATTTTTTTTTCCCCAACACCCTCTCCCCCTACACCCACACTCGGAAAAACCAGACGCCGGTGGTGGGGGAAAGATAAGATAAGACACGGCGCCAGACGGGTCGGTGGTGGGGGTTTGTTTTGACGGGCCATAGTGCCCACTATACTACTTGCATAAAATACCGTACATCAATGCAATAACAACAATTTTTATTTATTCAAATATACTTTTCAATCGATTTTTATTTCGCATAAATGATTTTGTATTAATTCAATTTTCTAATTGAAACTTTTTATAAATATCATTAATTACTGGTTCTAAAATTGTTTTAATTAATTATTTAATTTTAATTAATTATTAATTTTATTGTTTTAATTATAACAGTACCTGTCCGAGAATACTTAAATAATACGTATGGAAATAATTGGATGGGTCGTGGAGCACCTTTCTGGCAATGGCCACCAAGATCACCAGATTTGAATCCTTGTGATTTTTTCTTGTGGGGTGCGCAGAAAGAAAAAATTTATTTTAACCGCATAGAAACGCAGGACGAATTGGAAGAACGAATACGAAGAGCGTTTGCTACCGTACAGCGGCGGCATATAAAGAATGCCACAGAAAGCGTTGCGTACAGGGCAATCAAATGTTTGGAAGCGAATGGTGGCCAATACCAACATTTAATGTAAAAAAATTCTCCATTGAATAAATATATTTATTCCTTTTACTTTGTCAAACCTTCATTACATCACATACTACCTTTTATTAAATAAGAAAAATAATTGCAGCATAATTTTAATTCACCGAAATATCTGTATATCGCGATATAATTATAATTAATCAAATTATTATTATGTCGCCACATAATAAAATTTGGATGAATTAAAATTATGTCGATACATAATAAGAATAGAGAATTACTTTTATACTCAGACATAATTTTAATTCACCGAATTATTTCATATCACGACATAATTTTAATTTTATTCCATTTTGTGCATTGTCTATCCATTGTTACATCTATTGTAGAATAAAAAATTACCGAAATTGAAATTATATCGAGATATAATGAAAAGTCGGAATTATTATGTCGCGATATAATTTTAATTTTTCGAATTTTTATTATACCGCGATATAACAGATCGATGAATTACAATTATGTCGCGACATGATAATAATTCGATAAATTTAAATTATGTCAAGACATAATAAAAATTAGGGAATATTTTTATACCCAGGCATAATTTTAATTTATCGAACTTTTATTATGTTTCGATGTAATTTTAATTCACCGAAATATTTGTATATCGCGATATAATTTTAATTCATCGAATTATTATTATATCGCCACATAATAAAAATTCGATGAGTTGAAATTATATCGCGACATAATAATAATTCCGAATTCTTATTATGTCTGGACATAATTTTAATTCACCGAATTATTTTTATGTCGCGGTATAATTTTAATTCATGGAATTATATTGTGTTGCCACATAATAAAATTTTGATAAATTAAAATTATGTCGATACATAATAAGAATAGAGAATTACTTTTATACCCAAACATAATTTTAGTTTATCGAACTTTTATTATGTTTCGATGTAATTTTATTTTACCGAAATATCTTTATGTCGCGATATAACTTTAATTCATCGAATTATTATGTCACCGCATAATGAAAATTCTTTAAGTTAGAATTATATCGCCACATAATAATAATCCAAAATTTTTATTATGTTTCGAAATAATTTTAATTCATCGAATTATTTTTATGTCTCGACATAATTTTAATTCATCGAATTATTTTTATGTCTCGACATAATTTTAATTCACCGAAATATCTGTATATCGCGATATAATTTTAATTCATCGAATTATTATTATATCGCCACATAATAAAAATTCGATAAGTTGAAATTATATTGCCACATAATAATAATTTCGAATTTTTATTTTGTCTCGACATAATTTTAATTCACCGAATTATTTTTATGTATTAACATAAATTTATTTCATTTATATTTTATAAGACAATTAATCATTTAATCTTTTTATATTAAATGGAATATTGTTTATGCTATGAAAAAGTAAAACTGCGTACCATACGTGAGCGCGGTTGCCGCCGCGCCGCAGCTAACTTCGCGCGCCCGCTCCTGACTTACTCTTGTAACTCCGCGCTGATTGACTGATTACAATAATTAATTGCGGTGAAATTATTCATCAGATCGAAAAATAGTATTAGACATTTTCTCTTAGATTTTCATTCTCTATCGAATGGTGCTGAGCAAATGCGACACTTTTTTAACACTCTGTATATGTAATAAATATATATTTTAATGTAAATATAAATGTGATATACTATAGTAATTACGTGATACGACGATAGTAATTACGTTTTCTGGGACTCGCGAGTTACTTCCGAAAATTTGTTAAAGATTTCGCGCTGAAAGCTAAACCACTACAGAATCTTTTGAAAAAAGACGTTGTATATAATTTTGACGAACGTTGCGCGCAAGCATTCGAAATTTTGAAAAAAGAACTGACCTCCACTCCGTTGCTGAGACTGTACGATCCGGCGGCCGAAACCCAGTTACACACAGACGCATGTTGCTTAGGGTTCGGAGCGATCCTTCTCCAGCGACGCGATAATTCCTGGGGTCCGGTTGCGTATTTTAGTCAAGGCACGAACGCAGCGGAGAGCAGGTATCACAGCTACGAGCTGGAAATGTTAGCAATCGTTAAATCAGTTGAGCGGTTTCACATATACTTATATGGCACGCGGTTCACAATTGTAACAGATTGTAACGCAGTAGTATATGCGGTAAATAAGGCAAACCTAAATCCGCGAATAGCGCGATGGACTCTCGCGCTGCAAAATTACTCGTTCGACATCATACATCGTCCAGGTAGTCGCATGGCACATGTTGACGCGCTTAGTCGAAGCGTCGCGCACATAGACGAACTTCCGCTGGAGAGACGCCTTGAGTTCCTTCAGCTTGCGGATTCGAATATCCTAGAAATTAGTAAAACGTTAGAACTAGAGCATAATGATAAATTCGCATTAGTAGACGGATTGGTTTATAAGAAAATCGATAACGAACTGAAATTTGTAATTCCGGAGTCGATGATATCCAATATAATGAGAATTTATCATGACGAAATGGCTCATTGCGGAGTAGAAAAAACAGTAAACGGAATCTTAAAAAACTATTGGTTTCCCACCATGAGGAAGCGCGTAAAAGAACACATAGACAATTGTCTTACCTGTCTTACAGCCAATAACGCGCTTAACAGGTTCGAAAGGGAAACTCAACTGCATCCTTTGCCCAAGGTTCCGTTAAATACGTTGCATGTAGACCACTTCGGTCCAATGCAGGAAACTGTAGAAAAATACAAATATATTTTAGTAGTGATAGACGCTTTCACCAGATTCACCTGGTTGTTTCCTAACAAAACAACCAGTAGTAGAGAATCAATTACGTGCTTAGAAAATATTTTCACAAGTTTTGGTAATCCTATGGAAGTAATATCGGATAGAGGAACCACCTTTACCTCTAAAGAATTCATAGAGTTATTATCGGACAAAGGTATCAAGCACCGCAAGGTGGCCGTAGCAGCACCCTGGGCAAATGGCACAGTTGAAAGGGTGAACAGGTTCTTAAAATCATCGCTAACCAAGCTCATCGATGCGCCAGATGAGTGGAAAAATTATTTAGGGAGAATGCAATACGTGATCAATAATACGTACCACGCGGTGACTAAATCAAGTCCAGCAAAACTAATGTTAGGTTTTGACCAACGCAGCCATTCGGATCACTCTCTAGCCAATTTCACGAAGGCCCTTGTCACCGTCGATGAGGACCTAGAAAAAGAGAGAGATATTAATAGAGACAATGCTTCACGAGCAACAGATCTTGTAAGAGCGTACAATAAAGAATACAAGGATACTCACAGTATCAAGCCAACGCGATATAAACCAGGGGAGTACGTTTTGATAAGGGACACAGCCCCCAAAATAGGTACGAGCTCAAAGCTCAAACCAAATTATAAGGGGCCTTACCTTATCGCAAAAAGTCTGGGCAATAGTCGCTATGTCGTCAAGGATATCCCAGGCTTTAATATTAAGCAGAAACCCCTGGATACGATCCTTTCCGCAGATATAATAAAACCTTGGATTAAAATAGGGAAAAAAGAGACCGATTAATAGGTAGTCGCCAAGGTAAATAATCTGTATTGTATAATCTAATGTTAATAAGTGTAATGAAAAAAAAAAAAAATTTTTTTATTAATGTAATACGTACCTGCGTGAAATAAATAGAATACGTACCTGTTAAAATAATAAGCGGTACTACTTAATATTAGAAAAAAAAAATTTATAATTTCGAGACGAAATTAATTGCAGCATGGCCGAGCTGAAAGCAATCGCCACCGATCGGCTGATTGCGCACGCGCCGATACGACAACTAACTGTCCCCGATAACTGCTGCCCTCGGCGATAAGCGTATAGGGCGCAAACTAAAGCGGCGCGCGCGGGAGAGTCAAAAGGGTATTTAAGCTAGCGCGCGGAAAAGCCGGGACTCTCCTTCGAGCAGTATACCGAAAAAGATAGTTGATTTTGTATACGGGAGTCTTTCGTAATAAATAACAGTCTTTGTCTTCAAGTGAATATTTTGTTGAGTGACTTTCAAACACCTTTCTCGAACCTTCGTACTTTCCGCGCTTTCTAAGAACAGTTGAAACTGTTAACGGTCATCCGTAATTAAATTCTTCTTTTAATAATCTCGATTTCTTACAATATAAACTGCTTACAGCTTTACGCTTCAAATATTTTAGAAGTTTTTTTTTAGATGTTACACATTAATAAAATTTAATAAAATTCCAAATAATTTGTATAAATATTAATGAGTCAAAACTTCTTAATTGTAGTTATAGTAATTATTAAACAATAAAAAATAATTTTACTTAATCAATTGAATATTTTTTACTATTTGAGGTTAGAAAAACACATGTTAGATTTCCTAAATTTATTGTAATTAAACAACATATGTATAATGCCAATTGATACAAAAAGACAAAAAAAACGTAATATAATATAATAAAATATTTGAAGATTATAGTTAAATATAGTTGATTTTTAAATAAAAAAGCTTTTGTTACATACCTGCACGCTGCACGATGTACAAACATCGAAACGGAAAAGGATGTTGATGATGTTTTTTTTTTATCACTAACAAAACTGATTACGAGTTAGAAGAAGCGGGAAAATTCAAATAAAAAATAATCACTGTTTATTATAAATTGTGAAAGTTAATTGATAAGTATATTATAATATTTATATTATTTAGAATAAATTAATTTTAATGGGAATATATGCAACGGTTTTTTCACTATAAAAACTGTTGCAAATCATAAAAATATATATATATATAAGGCAATTATTTAAAAGTTTTATTTATACAAAGATATTAATTATATATACCATATTTTTTGTCAT